CTCCCTGAATACAGCAGCTGGAGTGGTGACAGAGAAGAAGCGCGCGTACGTGCCGATTCCTGACAAACACCAGCTGAAGATGTAGTAAGAGGAGCTAGCTGGGTAAAGGGAGTCGGACCCGAGAGGGCACCTCAAAGATCACTGCTAAATGAAATGGACTTGCTGGCAACACTGAACTGAAAACCCAGGGTTGGGTTTCAGAAAACATTGATCTAGCGCCCTCTAATGGTCGTGTCCGGTGCTGTCAGCTAGAGGCTGAATGAGTGAAATGAAAAGTAGCTGCTCCCCTAAATGAGCACAGAATTTGGAGAGGAAGGAAGCGACATACGTAAACATAATACCAATTTTAAATGGTGTTTAAATATATGTTGTTTAAAGGATTATATGTGAGAGGATGTCACAGAGAAAGGAGCACCTACTGTTTAATGAGTGCCTTGGGGTTGGAGATTTGTTGGATTTGACGTGGGCAGAACTGGCAAGAGGCGCTGTGCCTATGACCCGTCTGGGTTCTCAAGCCGACTCCCACCGCTCCTGCTCTCCCTAGTATTTCAGAAAACTACATTTCCCAGGCTCCGCTGCCCACTGGCTTGCGGTGGCTTTGGCTGGAGATGGGAGGCCCAGAGCAAGCTCCCCACACCTCTCCTCGGGCAGCATTGCTGGCTATGCCCCTGTCTCCTCTGGGGCTCCAGCTCAGGCCAGACACGTCCTCCACGACTTCAGCTTCCAGCTGGTGGTCCTGGTCCCGGGCTCTGGGAATCCCTTTGTCCTTCCAGCCCAGGGAAGGTAGAGGTTTCTGTTGATGCTAATCTTGGAGTTATGTCACCTTCCCCTATTTGGTATCTTGACTCTTCAGTTACTCAAGTAACAAATTCCTTGTATTAAAACCCCTCTGTTTGAAATCTCCAGGGATGAGTTTTGTCTGACTGCCAGGGCCCTCACTGACACGGGAGATAAGCTGCTTCTGATGGAGAAAAGGAGTATGGCTCTTGCCTGGAAAATAATGTAGGTTAAAAGCAAGATTCAGCCTATGGGAATGGAAAGGTGAAAGGCCACCGAAAAAACAACAGAAATTCTCAGGCAGGCTGAGACCGTGCTAACGAGGCAATGCTGTTCTGAGCCTGGAAGGCCTTCGAAAAGGCTAAGGAGAGTTCTGTGCTTGTACAAATGTTTCAACCTAACAGAAGGACAGAACCTTGCCCAAGAACAGATGCCACCGGGCTGAAAGGATCCCAGTCCACCTTTTTATTTTCCACCAAGTTTAAATCAGCTATTTGGGACTCTGGGGAATGACTCACCCACTCAGAATACCAGAGCTGGAAGGTGTCCTTTTCCTTCAAATTATATGCATGAGGGCACTAAAGCTTTTGTATTTAAAATGCTTTGCTCAAGGTCGCACAGCTGGTAGAGCTGGAAGGAGAACCCCAGTCTCTTGATTCCAAGATCAAAGCCATTGTTACTCTATCATTTGAGCCCTTCCCGCTCCCTAAGTTTCAGTTCATTATATGCAAGTTTGGTCCTTTGGTTACTTACAAGCTTATGAGCAAGTTTGAATGGGTCTGTTCCATATCAGTAACTTCTCATTCTGAACGAACAAGAGTGAGCATGTTACTCATTCCAATGTAACCAGTTTGGAGTGATTTTTAAATAGAATAAAGTAACAGTAAAACAACAGACATTATACTGTCAAATGAAATGCAGGTAGAAGTCAGGTAGCAGAACACACACCCTTTATGAAGAGACTCACCACTTTGTATCTGGACTGGACACCGAGGTTTGGGGTAAAATAAACATTCTGAGGCACAGGCTTTAGAGACATTATCTGTTTAATAAATATGATTGTAAAAGCAATAAACAAGAGCAATTATACATTACACTACAGAGTATATAACAAAAAAATACATCAAAAAGTCATTTTAAAATTAGAAGTAGTTCCGATACTATAAGAAAACTTTCTTTTTCTCTTTTTAATTGGCTTCCTATAAAAATAAGTTGGCAAATGAGGGAATTTCAATGCTCAGTTGGAATCCTGGAAAACACAGAACAGCTGCCAAGTACCCCACTGCTCTCAAAGTTGCTGTTTGGAACTTCTGAAAAAAAGCAAAGCCAACCTCTGCATTTTGGACAGTGGATCCAATTAAAGGTAAGGCAAAGGAGAAAATGTTGGCTGGGGAGTTCAGGGGAAGAGCATGCACAGTTTGCCTTCCGGGATTTTGGAAAAACGTTGCAGTATCAGATTTGCAGCTTGCCCTGAATCTTACCTTCCACATCCATCCCTCACTACCCGCTCCTCTGGCCTCAAGCCCACCGAACTCCTCACTGGGTTTGCGCCTGCTGTTAGCGAGGAGGTAGGCTCTTGGGTCCCTCCCACTTGCAGGCTCTCACTACCGCCTTCTCTTCGGGATTGAGCTGGAATGGCCTACTAAGCATTTCTCAAACTTTAACGTATATCACAATCACTGGGAGAGCTTCTGAACACAGATTACTGGGCCCGAACTCCAGCGTTTCTGACTCAGGAGGTCGGGGGCAGGGGGGGGGGGCAAAATCTGCATTTTTAACAAGCTGGAGGTGATGCCGAAACTGCTGGTCCAGGTACTGCACTTTGAGAACCACAGAGCTGTACCATGAGACCAAGAGGTCTCCACAAGCAGTACTTTGCTGTACTAATCTCCTACAGGTGGGAGGGAGCTCTGAGAAGAGGCACCTGAGGGCCCTGGAGATGCTGCATCTAGCACTGACCATCCCTGGTCACCTTCCGAGATGCCAGGCGTCTCATGTCCACCTCTAGTTTTAATTAGGACTTCCAAGCCCATCCTTTTCTATGTCTTCTGTCATGTTCATGCATTTATTCTCTCAACAAATGATTTTCTTAACACTTACTCGAGGCAAGGCACTGTGCTGGATAGTGTTATTCCCTTTTTCATATTTATCCAATTAAAATTAATTGATCTGCAACTCTGAGGACTCCCTGTGCTGTTCTGAGGACTCCTCTTTAGGTTTCCAAACACTTTGTCTTCCAGATTTAAGTTTGGGAGGCTTGCACGGAAGAGGATGAGTGAGGATGTTTCCCGTGGGGTAGGAAGCCCCACAGGTTGGGGATCAACTGAGCTCTACAGACAGCTGCCTCAGGCATAATCCGTGTCCCCGATTCATACCGGGCGTCTTCAACCATAAAAATCTTCTGCTTGATTGACTTCTAACTGAAGCTTTGCTATTCTTCCCCTACCTACACAAGGACAGGGGTCGTCAGGGTCTTTAGGATACCCCCACTGTCCCCAGGGCCCTGTTATATCCTGTTGTTGGCCTGGGGACAAGGCCAAGAAGGAGGCTACACTCTGAGTGGCTTTTTGAAGCCACCTTCTCCTGTATTTTGGAGTAGGCTTTGTCCAGTCCATAATACTCCAACGGCTTCTGCTGGACATACTTTTGTTTCCCTCTTACTCTGGGTCTTCTTTCATGATTGCTCTGGGAAAACTGGGATTTCCTCCTGCTCTGAGCCAACCTGCTTGAGTCAGCTTACTCCTCCCCTTTCTGCTTATTCCTTTTTCCTTTGCTGACACCATGATGCTCAGAGATCAGAGAGCACACATGTAAAAAGTCGAGGATCACCCTACGTGATCACAATCCCATCCTCATATAAGATAAGACCTCCATCTTGTCTCAGACTTTTTGACACTCTTAAACATTACAGCCATGAACCTGCTGCTTCTTCTGGTTCAAATCAGTTTTATTTTACAAATATTTTCACTCCACTGTGAGAGAGGAAATACTGGGTAAGAGCAACCATCACAGGAGGAAACTGTCCTGCCACATAAGTAACACGTTCAAAACATTTCTCACAAGAATCTTCTGGAATATGACTGCAGGAGATTTTTGTCAAGGTGTGAAAATACCACTATTCATCAGTACGCTTTCTCTTCTAAGATACGGGGCCAGGTTTGAATTGGTTTGCGTATCTCAACTCTTTCACACACATTATATGTTTTTCCAGGTGGGAAAGGGCAGGATATTTGCGGAGGCGGGTTCTACAGGAAGAGATCAAAAAACACAGGAAGCTGAGCCCCGCGGGGCAGGGTGCAGCGTGGTCAGGGCTATGGAGGCTGCATGCGTGGGCGTGTACAGAGCTGACAGGTCAGAAACATCCGGTGGCCAAGGCAGGGTTGGCCAAGGCTGGGCCAGTGTTTAGGGAGCGTCAGGATGAAATGTCCAGAATCTAGCAACGTGTTTGGGAAGAAAAAGTAGGCGCAGTGAAGGATAACTTGGGGACTGGAAGGAAGGGATACCAAGACATCAACAGACCGTGACAACACACGTGGAGAACAGACAGACGGGAAGGTCAGAATGCAATGCAGGTAACCGGGATTCTGTTCTCCACCTAAGTTAGGGCAGGAGTTGGGAAAGCTACAAGGGGAAGCAGTTGTGATGGGAAGTGGCAAACAGGAAACACGGGTCCACTTCTGGCACGCCTGCCCCCCTCCTTCCTTCCCTATTCTGCCTGCCTACCTGGAACTTCAACTCGCCTCTCTGGGCCTGTGGCCTCACAGAATGGAGAAGGCAGCCCTGGGGTCGCTGCCGGCCAACAGAGCTACCCAAGATAACTCAGAAGGGAGAACGGCAACGAGGAAAGTGGAATAGAGAAACAGCTCAGGGTTTCAAACTCCTGTGCATGTCTGTGTGTCTTGTGAAAAGAGCCGGAGTGGCTAATCCACCCATCAGCCGGTAGTGCTAAAATAGCTGTTAAATCTAGAGCCAAGAATGTTTCCAAAAATACATGCAGATGTCCTTGGCCTGTATATGTTAGGAATTTTCTACAAACACGACCGATCAGAAAAAAGAGAGAGAAGAAAAGGGGAGGGGAGTGTTTTTCCATGAAAATAGAGCACCTATACACTGCCCCTCCGAGCGTGTTCTCAAGGGACTGTCCACATGCACAGGCTTAAAGCTAAAAACCCTTGTTGTCTGTGTCTGAAGAATTAAAAAGTCCCGATGCAGTGAGTGTTTAGTTTGTTTGTTTGTTTGGATTTTGATTGTTTTTTTATTTGATTTTTGTTTTGTTTGTTTTTGTTTTTACTGGCGTCCTCCATTCAAACATTTACATAGGTAGGGATTTCTTTTGTGCTTTGATTCTCAGCAACTATGGAAATACTTCCTGGCAAAATAGGAAAACAGAACAACAAAAGGAAAGAAAAAAAAACATAGAGTTAGTGGTCATGAAGAAGGTTGCACTTGACAAGAGCGAAATTCTTTCCTGATCAGCAGGTCGCCTGTGGCCTTTGGGGGTTTTCCTTAAATTGCAAATTGAGCCCCAGCAGATCCCCGCTTTGGCGTTGAAGGTGGAGTGGCTGGTCTTGCTCTTTGCAATCGTAGAGATGAGTCACCAGGTTGAGTAGAAGGGGAGGGAGGGAAGGGTAAAGCTACTCTCCTAAGAGAAAACGTGTAACACTTACTCATTTAACGACACTGGAAGCAGAAAGGTGTCAGAGACATTGCAACGTGCCAGGCGACGTTCCTGCCCAAGCAGGCATCGCTACTTTAACCAAGGAAACAGCGGCTGTGCTTCAGACCCCGTGGAAATGCAGTTGAAACCAAATAGCCCACCCGGATGCACTTAGAAGCTTTAGAAGTAAATAGGGTGAATGCTTCTCTGGACTTGAAAACAGAAAAGCCTTTTCCTTTTTAACCCAAACCAATTACTCATCCACCACCTGTTTCCCCAACAAAAAGGAAGCACGCTGTGAATACCGCACACCGGATGTGGGGGCTGTTATTATTACCTCCGACACAGGCCAGGCACTGCACTGAAATTTCTCCTTAATACAGTCACAGAACTTCCCCATGTCCATTTAAAGAGAGGGTTCTATTCCCATTAAGGTAGCAGATTAAAAATCACAGGCGAAGGCTTTCTAGGTGGTTGGGCTATCATATCAGATTGAAGCATGAATGCTTATACATAATAATTTATCCACCAGAGTCAGCAATGCAGGGTCTAGGTAAGAACATTTACAGCTGCAACTCTAAGGCCAGACAGGAGGAAGGGAGGAGAGAAATGGATCCCAGTGGTGGCTCCATGGTTTATCTAATTTCCTGGAGAATTTCCTCTCCAATAAATAGTAGGACTTAGCACCTCCCCTTGAGACTCTCCCCACCTAGCTGTTGGATTCCCACGCTTACTTCTCCGGCAGAGAGTGAGCGCTATAGAATTACTCAGAAATCCATTTTAAGACTTCGGGGAGGGCACAGGTGAAAAGGAGGAAGAAATCTGCCCATCTGCTCTGTAACAGCCTAACCCTCCAGTGGTCTGTCTCAGGAGGCCCCACTCCTGAGATGTTCTGCAAACTCTATGCCTCTTGCCCTCAAAATTCTCAGGTTCCCTGTTTCCTGGGGGACAGTTTTGAGATATCTACGAGATTAAAAAAACAAAACAAAACAGGGTGATTAGCCTGTCACCCCCCTGCGAAGGTTCTGGAACAATGTGGCTGCTGTAGCTCGTTCTGGTCATTATATACTCTGGCCCTCAAGCCCTGCCCAGCCCTCCAGGCCGCAAGAGCCAGCCTCTGAGCCTGACCTTCTTGGCTATTGTCAGAGCAAATGCTCTGCTCTTTCCCATGAACATTTCGAAGCCCAATGTTTTAGCAAGTTTCTGCAAAAAGAGGAATAAACTCATGAGAGAGAGAGAAAAAAAGGATAGGAACAAGGCTTTTTTTTTCTCTTTCCAATGGGAGGAAGCAGGGAAGGAGGCGTCACAGCTGTTCTCTGAGGGGTGTTAGAGCAGAGAAAGGGGTTATGTCAAGCCAGAAAGGGGTTAGAGAGAGAGCCAGCCATTGACTACTCAGGGTGAACGGCAGACGGCTACCGGGCATCATTTACCTATGAGCTGAGATTCCACCTTCTCATCTACCAGCTGGCCAGGCCGCCTGAGTTCAGTCTGAGGGACATAGGGCCTGCTTTCAGGGTGACTGACTCGACTGACCATCTCTCGTTCTTTCTCATTGTGCATCTGGGCATAAACATTAATCCCTGGGATCTTCCTAAAACATTAACAGAAACCATCACTGCTGGGCACACAGGACAAATACACCACTGTGACAAATGCTTCTGAACCTGTCAGGGAGAAGGGAGGCGGGAGATGTGGACGGAGGGACACGCACCTTTTAAACTTGTAGATGACGAACACGGCCAGCCCCACAAACACCACGGACAGCAGCATCAGCATGGCCGATCCACTGTGGGTCGGGGTGAGGTCCACCAGCGGGGCTGAGGGAGAAAGCAGAGGCGTGGTCATGAGTAGACAGATGAGCACGCGTGACTCTGGGACGAGCTTGCACTGTGCCTCTGGGTGAACCACGTGGGACAAACACACAAGATGCACGTCACACAGCTCGATCCGTGGATGCACCGGGGCTGATCCCAGGCCCCAGAATGCTCCAGCGGGCCTGTTTAGGGAGTGCAGTGGAGCAATTTAAAGCACGGACTCTGGAGTCAGACTGCCTGGATTCAAGGCCTGCTCTACCACGTGCTGGCTGTCAGCTTCTGGGCCCGTTACTTGACCTTCATATGCCGTCGTCTGGGGTGACAAGGGGAATAAAAGTACCTATCTCACTGGGTTTTTGTGAAGATCGAATGAGGCGATGTATATAAAGCACACATAACAGCACTGGACACATACACAGTAGGGCTTTTAGAGAAGTATTTGATTTTACTGCTACCACTATTATTATTTTTAATCAATATTTATAATAATAGAACTATTAAATTTTCCTATACTTTAAATGCAAGCTTTCCCCACCAAGCCATGCAGAAAACCAGAAAAACCACCACCAGAGATATTGCTCCCTCTCACTCTGACCCCAGCAGGTGTCGTGTAAGAGAAAGGACTGGAGAATAACGGGGCACGCTTATATTTCTTGCACACAGGAAGCTGATGGCTAAGTGACTATTCTACAAGGGCTGCCGCTCCAATGCTGGAGGAGGGGTGTGCTAGCCAGCGTTGTCTCAGTAACTTGCCAAAGTCAAGACAGCTCGGCTCATGCCGGGAGGCGCCAGCCTCTCAGAGGCAGTGATTTCTCCTCTCGGACCAGATAGATGCCTTTGCATCCATGAAAGCTTCTCCCTCCCCAACTTTTTGACTTTGCTCTTCGAGTGCAGCTCATCTCTCTGCACCTCTATTCCAGTCCCTCCCCTATCTCAGGGTCAAGTCTTTTGTACTTAATGACTTTGTTTGCAATTCATTTCCACCCTCTCAAAAACTGACATTTTGCAAACAGAGCATAGCTCCAGCATAAAAGGCAAGCCACACATACCCCTTTGAAGCCTGGATACTGACCTTTACCTTCCATCAAATTAAGCAAAGCCTGATACCCAGAAAGGCAGGTGACCTTTAAGCACCATTTTCTGCAGCTTTTCTCTGTTGAGAGTCAAGAGGGCAGAGTTCTTGTCACCCAGGTACAGACATTCAAGAATAGGTGACTATAATGCTGATGGTTTCAGACAAGACCCAATGCTGCTTCTGCTCTGTCCGGATTTTGAAGGATTACATCCCAGCCACTTTTCACTACTGGAAATCCTATTCTATGTGCCGGTTTGGGGGAAAAACAAAAGGCAAGCCTTCTGTCTCAGAAAACAGGCTTAGTTGTCTTAGTGGAATCAGCTTTTGGAAAGCACGAAAATGAAGCAAGCTCTGTGGTGTCCTCTCCTCTGTAAGTGAAGCAGCGCTTGGGCTGTGAAGCGTGAGTGTGTGAGAAGACGGGAGGGGTCACGGAGAGAAGCACCCACGGCAAACGAGTTTTCAGCTTGAAATGGGAAAACAAAGGTCTCACTCATTCACTTGGGCAAACACAGCGCCCTCAGCAAAGGAGCCAGAAATACTTCAAAACTCACAGCACAACTGGCAGGAAGTCGCGGGGGAGAGAAGGCCTTCCATTTGTCACAGGCATCATCACAGCTGACCTTCCGCAATGGAAGGCAGGGGGATGACCTCCTCTGAGCTGGCAGGAACAGCGAGGGTCTCCCTGGCTACTGTCGTTCCAAAAGATGGACCAGTAAACGAAAGACAAACCAAGCCATCTCCCCCTGCTCCCCCCCCCCCACATATTTTCTATATACCTCAAGCCAGGGCTAATTTCAGCAGGAGCTATCAGAAATTCAAAAAGATAGTTCTGAGAACGGGATTAAGGATGAAAGTATAGCACTAGAAGCAAATTGACACATGACAGAGTTAAAATATCATTACGTTTTCAAACGACCAGTTAGAATCATAGGTCACATACTCAGACGTTGATGACAAGCACATGCACATATGTTTGCACGTGTGTGCATACATGGGTGCTTTGTGTACGGAGACATGAAGCCTCATGCACCCACCACCCTTCAACAACTCCCAGCCCACAATGTTATTTTATTTCTACCCCCATTCAGTCTCCACAAACCCAACACTGGATTATTTTGAAGCAAATCTCAGCTATCATATAATTTTATCTATGACTCTAAAAGAGAAGGTCTCTCTCACCCTCCCTTTTTCTCCTGACATTATCACAATACCGTCATCACACTGACGGAGATAATAATGGAAAGCTATTGTAAAGGTACTTTTCTAATGCAAACCCTTAATCTGACAGGGAACAAAGGGAGACAGAGAGGAGCCTCAGATTGCTGGGATGGTTACAGGCAGGTTAGCTTGATTAGCTGAACTTCTAATTCCCAGCCGAATGCTCTTTCAGAATAAGCAGAGTATCAGTTTTGTGCAGCAACCAGGAAGCATACTAAGGCTGCTGGCAAGGACTGGCACTGGAAATAAATGGAAAACTAAAGAGAGAAAATCGCTCCAGCCAGGCTCTCACTGCACAGAAAGCCAGCACACACATGGACTCTATTTATTTCCTTTCTCTTCCCTTCCTCCTCCTCCTCTCTCTCCATCACAAGTTTAAATCTTTCCATTCTAAACCATTCCCACTCAAATCATCATTTGTAAACAAGCCACATTAACACTGTTAAGGAATTAGCATGTTATTTTGGGAAAAGGAGCTTCTGGATCCCAAGTTCTAAAATGTGTGCTATCTGTGCCCCCTCCTCGTCTCTGCATCACTTAGCCGCTTCTCAGTGGCAGGTGAGCAGGCAGCAGCTGTGAGAGACTGAGGACCACTGCCCTCTGGGTTCCGTGGTGGCTTGTTGATCTTTGCCGGACTGTAGACGGGACGGTGATTGCTCCACACAGCCTCAGATGCACATTTGCTCAGTACTTCAGTGGGTTTGCATGTGTTTTGGTGAGGAATGAAAACTTGTGATAGAGGAGCTTTTGTTTGTTGTGTGGAATTAGCATAAATTAACCCCTCTCTGATTGCAGCCTAGACAAGGGAGAAGAGGTAAGTATTCGGTGGTTTATTTGCCACTGTTCACACACACACGTGGGAAAGCACGGGCATAGCTGTACTGCAGGGGACTCGACAATCCTGCATCTGCTGTTGCACACATCCATTTCCACAATCCTGCAGAAATGCACTGGATCATTCTGTTCTGTTCATGAAACCTGGACTGCTTATAATAATAACGATGCTTACAAAAATAACCGGAGTCTTCTGGTGAAAAGTGAGTGCCAAGCAAATGGTCCCACGTTGTGTATGAGAGAGGAATGTGAACCCAAAATTCCACATTTGGGGTGAAGGAACTGATATGGTCCCTTTTTGAAATCAGATTCCTACTCGGCTGCTTATAAGCTAAATAACTTAAACTGAACCTCCATTTCCTCCTCTGCAAAACAGAGATAAAACTAGTGCTTGTTTTAGAAAGTTGTGAGAATAGAATAAGATGTGATTTATAAAGCACTGGCCTGGTGTCTGGCACGTGGGACACGCCCAGCAGTTTTAACACCATCCTGTCATTGCTATCCTATTTCTGAAAGTGTACAGAGAACAAGCCCTGAAAGATGACCAGAATTTCATGGTCAAATAATTTTGGGAAACGGTATACTTGGCCTTCCTATCTTGAAGATTCAGTATACGAAGGTTCACAGCAGTTCTTCAGGAAAGAAATTCGTATGACTTTACCATGGAGCGTCACAGATTCATTAGAGCACAGCCCCTCTGCGGACACGGGACCTGCACGACACACCTAGGGGGCGCCGCAGCCTTGCCCTGTTCTGTCATTTCCAAGTGTTAGGATCAACAATGTGTGGGCATCACCTGGTGAGGTCCTGCAGACACCCTCACTGCTGTCTATTCCGACTCTCATTCTGTCCAAGGGACTTCCTTGAACTTCTACCTGCTCTGTGACCCTGGGACTTTGGACTCGTACGGCATTTCTGATCCAAAAGTGCTGTCAAGAAGTCACAACAGCAGGTTCAAGTTTGCCATACCTTGATTTTATTTTTCCTCTCCTGCCTCCAAGTGGACCCAAGCCAGCCTTTACTTACATGCCTTGAATATCACAACATTCATGTTTATCTAGACCACAGAAAGGGTTGACAGGCCTTTATGACAGAGCACCCTCACTTCACCAATAGCCCTTCCCTCCCTTTCAAATCCAAACCCAATCGTAACAGTCTTAATAATGATTGCTATACCCTATTGAGATACAGCCATGATCTCGCAGGCCAGACTGGACAGGGATGCTCAGGGGAGGCTGTAAGGACTACTGAAGCATGGTTACTGGTTTTAAACTGAAGATGAGTTTTTAGGGACATCCAGTCACAGGGAGTTGACGTCACTTGACCAAGTAATGACAACCATGGGTACCTCAAAGACCAAACTTACCACCATGACTGATAGACAGGAAGAGGAGGATGCCTTTTGGTTTTTCAGGGTGGCAAGTTAATGAGGAATCCCACTTACTATGTGAAGTATTTCTCAAAGTATAATATCCAGACCACCTGAATCAGAATCACCTGGAGAGCTTGTGAAAATACAGTTTCCTAGGATTCACTTGAGAAAAAATAGTCTCTGAGATTGAGTCCTAGAAATCTCTGTACATAACAAGCTACACAAGTCATTATTATGCATACTAGTTTTAGAGTACTGTGTGGTAAGCCCCTCCTACTGTCGCTCATAAAACATCAGTCCTTATCTTTAGAGTCTGCCTGATCTTTATACTCTCTGGGTCACCAAAACAAAACAACACACCCCTTGATTGCCAATAGTACTCAATCTTGGGATGATTCCAGGAGAATTTTCTAAACTACCTAAAAGCATCTCCAGTCTCTCCTAAGAGAGTGGTCAGCTTCATGTAGATTAATTGCATTATTCGATCAATTCTCTACTTCATTC